CCCCTACCCCTTTTGACCTTTTCTTCCTATTTCAAATTATCAATTATTCATTTTAATCATTTTAACCCTTATTTACACTTTCAGTTTCTCACAAGAGAATCTATTCGGTATTTACACATGTGTGTCCTATTTATTTCACTTAAGAGGATGGCCTCAATATAAGACAATATAATCTTGTTTTTGATGAACAAGACAAGTAACTTCTACTCTAGTAGAAAGTTTACAGTCTTTCAGTGTTGGACTCAATCCACGCATTTACTCAGCCACCATTTCCCCATACCTCCTTTCTTCTGCAAAAATTAACAATCTGTCCTACTTCAACCATTGTCAATCTCCAGCTCTCAATGAATCCACTTCCTCCTTTTATTTCTCTCCTCATCTCTGGCCTCACCCACATTTCACCCTCTAGGGTTGATGTGTGTGTTTGTGGCTTTTTTCTTGAGCAAACTCAGCCTATATTTGTGAAACACATATGGGATGCAAACCCCTGCACTGAACCCCAGGAGAGGTTACTAGATGCATGAGACAGTACATTCCTTCCCATGCCCCTGCTCCAAGCAAGCATGTAAGTAGCACAAGACTGGGTGAAGGACACCTGAGGTGGGAATGACTGGCTGCAGCGAGCACAGACCAAAGATTTTCTTTGCAGTTGATGATGAAGATGGTGGTGCAGAAATGAAAGGATTCAGCAGTGCTCATGCCTCTTCCTCCTCTCCAGAGAGTGCAGCCACTTTGTCCCTGGAGAAAGATTTACCAGTCATTCTGTCCTCCAGATACTAAGCCCTTTCCACAGACAAGAGTGTCTCAGCAAACATAAGAGCACATCTTCCATCCTTCCAAAAAACAAAGATGTCAGTACCAAGAGGTGTGGCTGTCTGGCCAGCTTAGCCTATGATTTCCAGCTTCTTTTGTGCTTCATGGAAAACACTGACATCTAAGTTGGTAAAAAGAGGAGAACCTCATGTAAAGAAAGTGATCTTTCTTGTTTCTTTATATGTGAATAATTTACTACTTTGTCATGCTCAGGCTTAATGGTTCACTTTCATTACTGTTCACATCCTGGGGATAAAAAAAACTATATGCCTGGGACATTTCCTAGGAATTTTCCAAGCAAAATCTGAAATCTTCTGACTTCTAGAAATGAGTCTTCTCAGAAATAAAATAAAGGGCTGTAGTTAATGAAGGGGATTTCTTTTTTCTGTTTAAAAGTTGTTCTTTTAAATATGCATATGTGAATGTGTGTGCAGACACACACACCATACATGCACAAAATATCCACAAGAACTAGGAAGTTGTTCTGACAAAAGTTTGTAGGAAATGCTGTTTTGAAAAACAAGTTATTATAAACAACAGCAATATACTACCCTCCAAAGGAAAAAAAATCTTATAAAACTCTGAACTTTAAACAGCATTCATATAGACTTGTTCTTCTCTCTGAAAAATTTAAAAATTATAACTGTTACAATGAATTCTACAGAAATAGATGACTTCTACGGCCTCATTTCTTGACAAAGAGCAGCAACCTCTCTGAGTTTCTGCCACACATAAGCAAGTTCTCAGACCTAAAATCTTCCCTCAGAAGAAGCCATCTGGGACCACAGAGCCCTCTTGAGGTCACCCTGTCTGCCCACGGGAAAACCTCCCTCCTTCCTCCTTACAGTGAGAGCTGGATTTGTAGGAGGACGAGGTGTGTGAGACAAGATAGCCACCGTCCTCCGTGTGTATGGGCTGTGTGGTCACAGAGTTCCTCAGGGTAGCTTCTGCCCCTCCTGTCACCACTTGATCTGGATTGTCTCTCCAAAAATTAAAAAGAAAAAAGGCATGCCTGTCTTTTATAATGTTCTGTTTTAAAAGAGAGAAATCTCTAGAGAGAGAACAGGACCCTAAAAGTCCAAGGCCTGGAATTCCTCCTTTCTCTCTTCCCCTTTTAAACAGGAAACATTCATGCTAAGAGAGTCCAGAGGGAGAGTTGGCTGTGTGTTCATTTTAAGGCAGATAATGTTTGTATGTTCCAAATGTCAGTGATTTATCCTAAGGGGTTAAAACGAGTGCAGAAAAACCACATGTTTAATTTTGTACAGAAATATTTTCAGTAGATTTTGAGAGAAAGCACACGTTAAGGATTTTTTTTTTAAAGTGTTTGTGAAATCTCCAACATGAGCCAAAAGGAAATAGAAATGAGCATAGTGGTGTTGGGGAGGGGTAAAAATTCTTACCCTAAAAGACACGATGAGTGCTGGAAATTTTCTAAATCAAAAGTAAAATTCCCAAGAAAAGGGAAGGTGAAAACTGTATTCTTTATTTGCCAGGGCTGCAGTGACAGACAATATATTTGTGCTCTATTTGTCATGGGCAATTTAAAAGAGAGCAAAGCAAATTGTGCTGACTAATAGCAGCTGATGCTATAATAACTTGTGCACAAACAATTTAATTTTTTTATCTGAAAACTCTCACTAACTAAATCACCCCAAGCTTGAGGATCTATCTTTCATTATTACACATAGCCAAATTAAGACACAAAAAAAGAGTAGTGGGTGAATTCTATTGTTCATCCTTATGGATCAGTTCGCAGGCTGCCTGCCACAGACACCCCAGCTCAAGCTTGTCAAATCTCCATTGATTGGGTGAATGTGGAGAGTTGATTTAACATCCAGCTCTGCATATTACAGGGTGATTTTGACCCTCATTGACAGTGCCTGATTAACCCCAGACACTGTATTCATACAACCTTGTCATTTCTTTCAAGTGACCTAGCAGTTTTTACTCTGACATTAGAGAGCTTTTCATTAACTATTATTGTTGCTGTTGTTCTTTTTTTAAAAAAATCAAAGGGTATGGGGGTAGGGACCAAGTGGAAGGATCCAGACACTTGATTGTGAATGGTGGTGGTAAATATGTACACAGAAGGTCTATGGGGTTTTGAGAGCTGCAAACAGAAGTTATGTATTTAACCCCAGGCTAAACGAGATGCATCATCTGCACACTGTCTAGAGACACATTGCTTCTGCTATTGCAAACAGATCAGAAGATGCTTGTTGTCTTCAGTAGAAAAATCCAGATGGGGTCACTTCCTGTTAGTGTTTATTCTTACCCTGTCCATTACACAAGGCAGTGTGCAGCTGTTTTGGTTTTTCCCACTCTGCTACTGGCCTGGTGATGCTTCTCGACTTGTGGTATAAATCATTACATCAGAGTTCTAGGGGTGTAATTGCCAGCCCTAGGCTGGGACTTTTTCTAGAGACTGTAGAGAGGAGGATAACTAATCCTCACAGCAGTGTGACAGCAGCCAAACAGAATTAGGCCACAGCCCACTCAATGAGCTACTCCCAGGTCTGGGAGGAAACCACATACAGTACACAGGGACTTTGCGACTCCAAGTGACCTCTACATTTCTGAAACTGTATCTATGACAAGCTTCATAGAGACTAAGAAGGAATGGGGATCTAATGGACCCAGGCTTAAGAGAAGCAAACTCATTGCCTCATTAGGGGAACTCGTTCAGCTACTATAATACAGGCCAGCATAAGAGGGTATAATCAAGAAGTGTTTCTCTCACACATACCAATCTGAGTGTAAGCAGTACTTGCGGACATGGTGGCCTCATGGAGCTGAGGACTCAGGCTCCCACATTCTTTCTTCTTCAGCCCATAGTTTTCACCTTCAGGTGGAGCATGGCTGCTCCAGCGGCCAAAAAGAAAGAGAGAAGGGTAGAAGGTTCCCTCTTATCTTTAAGGGCACACATCACTTCTACTCACATCCCACTGGCCAGGCCTGTTCTGCAACCACAGCCAACTGCAGGAGAGGCTGAGGAACTTGGTCTTTAGCTAGAGAGCCAGTGGCACAGTAACTGCTGACATGTGTCTCTTCTCTTTCCAGGGGAGGACCAGCAGACCCTCTGGACTATCTGACATCAGCGCCTCGAGGGCTCTACAAGGAAAGGGAGCTTCCATATTACCCAGGGGCTCATCCTGTACACCCTCCCAAAGGGGGCTATGCCTGCCCCCCGGATCTGAGGCTGACAGACCTCCGGTATCCTCAGTACTACTCACCCCCAGCAGTCCCCCACCACAAAGGACCCTTCCGACATGATGTTCCACCTTCTCCTCCTCAGCACCAAAGAGTGCTAGCCTACCAAGAAATGGGCAGAGCAGGGCCCCGAGGGGGCAGCCCCGACCGCCACCCCTACCGAACCCAGGATCCCCGACAGAAGAACCCCATGACTGCAGCTGTATAGCTGAACATCACCAAGACCACCCTCGCCCAGCAAGGCAGAGGTCTAAAACCACTTTGCACTTCCCACACCTCAAGGCCTTCTGCTTGTTAGGAATTGTCCATGGTACAGACTGGCTTTTTCTCACTGAGGTTGCATGACTTGATAGCTAATCAGGAAAAGAAGAAACAGGAGGTAGATTCAGAAGGAAGAGGAAGAATGGGATCATAAAATACAGTACTTCCTGATACTTGAAAGTCCTCCAGAATTGGTCAAGCCAGGAAAAGTGGCAACTGAACAACAACTAAAGATGGAGATAAACCATGTGGTGGCTAGATAACCTGTGCTCATGTGTCCCTGCTGGCCATAGAGCTGCCAGTGCAGAGCAGTCTCTGCTAGGCAGTATTGCCATTCCAGGGCTCAGCTGCAGCCTCCTTGGTGGAGCTGTCAAGACTGCAGAGTGGGCCACTATGTCACTCTTCCAAGGTAGCCCACCTTTGCACTGCAAAGCATATTTCTTTTCCTACTTTACTTAGCCCACACTCACTCTGCAAAGCCTATCTCTTTTCCCACCTTCAATAAAACTTTGCTGCCATCAAAAATAAATAAACAGATTTTAAAACCCTGCAGAATGACAGAGTAGAGTGCCTGCAGATCTGGGCATCTAAGTCAGTTTTGTCACTGAGAAAAAAGCAACAGCAAACACAACTAGTGACTTCCATGAAATTTTTTATACCCAGAGGAAGACTGTATTTCTTTATTTATAGTCTCTCTCAGGTTCCTGATTCCACTCATTTGATGTAAACATTTCAGTTGTTTCCTTGCTTTTTTGATACAAAAGTCAGTAAAAAAATGAATGCAGTATTAGTGTGCTGGGAGAATGTGCAGAGCTACTCAGAGCCCCCAGAAGGAGTGTATCCCATGGACCACAGTGATCTGGTGAAGGTTTTTGACACTCCTGTGGTCCTCACCTTCCTTCCTCCCACATCCCAGGTGGGAGAGCTTGGAGACAGCAGCTTCCAGGGTCATCCCCAAATCTCTTGCCTATGATTATTTTAATTAAGGCCTATATTTTAAGACTCCTACATGAGAATTAAAGTGTTCTTGTGATAGAAAGAAGGCCTACTGGTAAGGTTGCACAGGAGGCACAGCTCTAGGGTTGCCAGTTCTGGACTCAGTGCCGAACAGTGCCCATCTGCACTTGGGGACAGCGAAGAGCCGACTGTGACCTTTGGAAACTGATCACCAGCATGTAGTAAATGGAAGTGAGTGATCATGCGAGTGCATGTGTGTGTGTACAGAAACAATGATTACTAATATGAAAAATAAAAATATGTCCTGGAAAGATCGATGAGGAAAGGGAAGAAGCATAAGATTAAATAAGTCTCCATCTGCTATATTTCATTAACAAAACTCAGGGCAAAGATAAAGTCTCCAACTGAGAAAGGAAGGTCTTACGGCTTGGAAAAACTGAAACCCCAGCTTCTAAAACACTTGAGTAGAACAAATCCATCCAAATTTCTTTTGAGCTTTTCAGTTATTTTCTATGGAAACAGAACATCTAAAACTTACAGGCTGATCTAAATGAAAACACAAGCAAAAGACTGAGAAACAACAAGGCCTGGGAGCAGCAGTTTGCATGGCTCAGCAACTGTGAAAATACTTCAAGCCTTTTCACATTCCTACTTCCCCTCTTCATTCCTTCCCCCAAAATGCCTACAGTTCAATTTAGACATATTTTGTCTGAGAGTAGGAATTCTAACTGGCAGGATTTAATAAATTGTAATACTGAATACATAGAGTATCCAAAAGACCCAGTTTAGTCTTCTTTTTTAATTTAAAATAGAGTTTTGTTACCAAGAGTGATGCAACTGCTGATTTTAGGTGTAAATAGTGTTATTTTCTGGACTTTGAGAGACACCGTTTTCTAAACCACAATCTCAGTGGTCTTCTGAAAGAGCACTGTGAAGTTGGTTTGGGTTTTTCTGATCTCTCTTGAGCCAGACGCTTTCAAATCATCTGCAGTTTATTGAGGATCTTAGGCCCTGCTCACCTGAAGATGGAATGCAGTGTGTGTAGGGTTCACCTGCCAACATTCTGGCTGTTGCCTTTTCCTTATGCTACATAAACTTCAAGGAAGAAAACCATAAGAAGAGGGAAACATAACCTGCTTTGAAGCATTAAACATCAACATATCAAATTTCTGTAGACTATATGACATCTCCACACCACAAAGCTCCTTCTGGATTAAGGATAGATCCCTTGAGGGGTATCCAGGGGTGAACTCTGATCTTGCAGAAGTGGCCCCTGCTGGAAGAATGCCCATGGTCACCTTCAGTGCTACCTCCTTGGGCACACAAACCCCCTGCATCCAGGCCCTCCAGAGCATGGCTTTGTGTTGTATGCACAGTGAATGAAATAACTGCTAATTCAGAGGGGCAGTCAGTGAGGTAAGGTACTATTAAAGTGAACAAAAAATAGATTATGAGTTTTCTTTTCTTGTTTGAAGTATAACGTATGCTCCATCTGATCCTGCCCTGAAGAAACTAATATTATATTTGTGACAGAGGCTCTATCAAGCCAAGCAACAATTAAGACAGCTGAGCTGTAACTTTATAAATGCCTGTGTACTAACCCTCTAATTGTCACCTCCCAGAGGTTACAGAGCACTTTCCCAATGTTGAGGAGAGCAGGTTGTTCAGAGCATTTAGAGGTCCAGGCTATAACCAATAGATGCCTATGAGCAGGAAATAGTTCCCAGTGTATGTATGGCCTGGGAAAACTCCAGAGTCTCCTTGCAGCTTGGATCTATAGCAGCCCCCCGGAATAGAGTGGTGAATCCATCACATGGTTCTGCCCAGCTGGGTCATTTGGGCCTCAAAATGATGTTTGACCTCAAGTCATTAGATTTTTTTAAGGAACCCTTTTTGCAGGAATAGAAAGATGAAAGAGAACAGATACAGAAAACCTTGATATGCAGGAAAATTCAGTCCTCCATAAGAGAAAGAAACATCTCATTAACCTATTATAACATTGGGCTATGGCACTATCCCTCTTAATTTAATATTGTTTCTCCACAATATCAAATCAGTAGGTGAAAGGCAAATGCAAAAACATGAACATTTACTTAAATTATGACTTACTAGCAAAAAAAATGGAAAGAGATATTCTGAAGCTCATTATTCTTAGACTTTTAGGTACATATGTGTTGACCTCACTGGATAGCATGGAAAAAGGTCTTACCGTCAAGAATAAAATAGGGATCCAGAGAACCACTCACTCACTGTGGAGGAAGCCCCAGGCCTGCTTCCACATAGAGAAGATATGAGACATCACTGTAGCTTTATTTTTGCTACCAACTAAATAAAATTAAAACAAGATCTATTATCTCTCCTAAAGAGTCAAGAAATTTTTGAACTAAATGTACCCTCTGATAACTTTTGGGGTAAAGCTCATTTCTCTTATCCCTAGGATGCATAGAGATTGAGCCTACAAAGAGTACTTATTGTCCTTAACCTGTAACCACAGCATTCCCTTTCTTTGGAGGAACATTGAAGCAATTCTGGAGTGTTTGTATGTGAAGGAATTTCTGTGTGTCAGATTCCTATGGGCATTAAACTCTGATATCCACAATGAGCGGCCTTCCAACTGATTTTAAATTGGGTAGACAACATATTGCTTACAGAGTCCTTGAGCAACAGAGAGTCCAGATTTCATGCAAATTAGACAAGAGGGACTGGGATTCAGAAACAGCCACAGTGGTATTTCTCTGCCTTCTCAGTTCATGGTGACTTAGGTGGAAACAACTCTACGATGAGACTAGAAAGGCCAGTCTCCATAAGATGTCTTTATAAAGTCACATTTCCAATAAAAAATAGAAAAAACATCTAAAATAAGCCCATCTCACATGCAGCAATAACCTCTAAGTGAAACTCTTTCTCCCTAATGACCTTAAATAGTAATAGAATCACACAGGACCTGGCTTTTGAAGCTAGGCTCAGCTACTAAGCTCATTTTGGGAAGTGAACCAACCCAAAGACTCTAGTCCACCTCCTGACTGGGCTCCTCGCAAAGTATTCTGTTCCATCTGAAGTGCTGTTTACTATCAGAACATAAAACCTGTTGTTTATACCAACACTTTTTCTAGTGTTTCCTATGCTTTTATGATACCAACTCTGTTCATACCTTTAAATTATATGAAATCATATTTTGGCATATGGGGCTGGAGAGCAAATTCTTTACAAACTTTTAAAGAATTTCATTTGTACAACAGAAAACATTTTGGATGTTGTTATATATGAGTATATAAAGTTTCCTTGTTTTGCATTAAAAATAAAGTTTTATTCAGTCAATGAGACATCAGAGTCTTGGTTTCACCCACCACTTGTTTGGGGATCTGATGAATGAAGAGATGAGCCTGGGCCTGCTCGGCTGGGAACAGCAACACTAAATAATTCCATAGCAACCATTCAAAAACAGCAACAAGACAGAGAACAAGAGGAAGAAACTTCTGCTGCATGTTGGGGTCCCTACGAAGCACATGCTGACATGGAGAGTTCACTGGAGAGTACACTTGAGCTCAATACTTTAAAAAGGGAAGGAGGCAGGATTGGACAGAGAGAAGCTGAGCTGCTATCCAAGAAGAGGCTTCAGCCAATCCCACGGGGAATTCTGGAGACCAATGGCTCTTCAGAGGTTTCCCAGGTGAGACAAGGGAGCTGAGCCTTTATACCAGTGGATTGACCAGTAGATATAGGCTACCCTTATAGGACAGATCTAGGATCAGGCAATTTTCTTCCTTTGGGGCTGTCCCCAGAGGGGCCTGGTAGCTGGGGCCATCTTTAGGAAGTACTCACAGTGGCTGGGAAAATATTCCTTTCCTGAAGTGGGATACAATCATACTATCACAGTACCCATGACAGAATCCAACACCATTGTCTTGGTCACTGGATCAAAAATACCCAACATTCACAACTTAAAAGACAAGAGGATAATTTTGGCTCATATTTTCAGTCCGTAGTTGGTTGGCTCCAAGACAGGAACGGCATTGTGGAAGGGCCTGGGTGGAGGAAAGCTGCTCACATCATGGCAGCCAAGAAGCAGAGAAAGAGGGTTGGAGCCTGGGACAAGCATTATACCCTTCTAGATCACGCCCACAATGGTCCACCTCCAACCAGGGCCCTCCTCCTAACAGCAAGTCGGCTATAGCACCCCCATCATCCAATCACCTTCCACACACATGAGAAGTTTGAGAGACCTTTGAGATCTAACTATAACAACCACTGCTATCTCTCTCATGCTGGAGTCACTCTCATTCATCTATAGAAGGTTCTTCTGTCAGCCCTCCACATATTCCTGGCAAGCTCACCCACACCCAGGGTTTATCTCCCACCTCAAGACGGATTGCTCTAGCTCAGATCTGTTTCCTGAGCTCAAGGCTTTTCACTTTCCTACTGGATATCCAGGTGGGCTTGTCCCACAGTCTTTTTATACACTACATACCCAAACTGAAAACAAACCTCCTGAGATGTTTCTTCCTCATAATTCTACCCTAGCCAATGGTACCACCATGTTACTGATGCAAACCAGAAACCTGGAAGTTATCCTTGACTTCTCAGTTGTGGCTGCTCCACACAGGCCCATATGATGACGTGGAAGACCAAAATCTTACACAGTAATTCTGTCAAGTACATCCATGCTCCTGATACTATGACATGCCTTAGTCAGCTCTTGTCACTTCTGTCTCACCCTGCTTCTTCAACAGCCTTCTGAGGCATCTCTCCCTGCCACCAGTTTTTGTAAATAAATTTTTATTGGAATAAATACATATTTATTCATTATGTAATTGTCTATAATTGTCTTTCATGCTACCACAACAACTTCTACTCTATACTCATACCAGAAGAATTTTTCTGAAATAGAAATCTGACCATACTACTCCTCTGGAGTGACCACAACCTTGTTGAAAGAACACTGGCTTTGAAAATAGGCAGACATGAACTTGGAAGACTGATTAGTTGTCAAGCACTGATTGTGTAACACACAGTAAAATAATTGTCTCTCTAGCATCATTTGTGAAATAGAACTGCTATACGTCTTATACATCTTATAGGGTTGGGGTTTTTTAATTGTTTTTTTTTAGTACTGGAAATTGAACTCAAAACCTTGCACTTGCAAGGAAGGCACACTGCCACTGAGCTAAATCCCCGCCCATTATGGGGTTTTTGTTTTGTTTTGTTTTGTTTGTACCAAGGATCAAATTTGGGACCTTGCAAGGCAGGTGGCAGCACCACTGAGCTAAATCCCCGGCCCATGGGCTTGTTTTTTAATAGAAGAGTCAGTTATATGCATCTCTTCCCAACTCCACATTCAATGATATCCAGTGGGTAGCTTGAAATGGGCCATGCTGGAAGTATTTACAACACCAGAATTGATATATGCAAACCTGAGTGTCTTCTTTTCCCAGTAGTTAACACTTACCAGCATACCACAGTAATAACAGTCAAGGAAAATCAATCCCTGTCCCATTCACACACACACACACACACACACACACACACTCTCTCTCTCTCTCTCTCTCTCCCCACAAAACCTTTCTGTGTCTCCTTACTACTTACTTAGTCAGATGCCCTAAGTCCTTCCAAATCAGTCCCCTGTGTGTCTCCGTCTTCACCTCTTATTTCTCCTACATTTACATCTTGTGCTACTGTTATGTCAAATTATTTTTACCTACTTGATCCGGACACACATTTTCACAGCCATGTACCAGGGCAACATGCAATGAGTATAACCACTCCCACTCAAAATATCCTCTTTGTCCCATGTTTTGTTCCTTGGATCCTCACTCATTCCTCAGGCCCCAGGTCAAAGAGCTCTTTCTCCAATGAAGACTTGAAGTCAGAAATTGGAGACTGGGCCCCTTGTATTCACCCCCACTTTGGTAGCAGAACTTACTACAGATGAGAGGCCCTGATGCTAGATCCCACATTTTCCGCATTTCCTTGCAACCTGAGTTCCATGTGAGGCCCAGATTCTATCAACCGGACCCAAAATGCTAAGACAGAACTGAGGGTCCAGCCCACTGCGGCTGCAAACATGGTCACAGAGGCATCTGGTGTTGCTGCAGGAGTGGCTGGGCTCTGGTGTCCTGGGAGTTGAGAAGCTGTGATCCTTATACACTGCATTAGCATGAACCCCACCTGAGGCAATATGATTCTGCTGCTGACTATTGGAACAAAGGCTTTTTGAGCCCCTGACTTTCTGATCATGGCAAGGGTAGCAACTCCCTCACTAGGGCAGTTCTGGGATGTTCTGTGATGGTTTTCTGAAACTTGTTCCTTGAATAATTCTTTGACTTATTTCTTGTTCCTAAAGCCTGCTCCTCCAGCCCTTCCAACAATTCAGCAAACACCCAACTTCCAATATACTCTCCCTTCTGTTGCAGTATCAACTAGCTAGAAGGAGCTCGATTATCTACAACTAAACCCCTCCTCCCAAAGCAGAGTTGGTAATTCCAAACGGTATGTTACCAGGATAGTTTCTGCAGATCCTCAATAAAACTTTTATTACCCATATTACAATGATTAGTTTCCATGTCTGTGTGGCCTTCTAAGGTGTATCGCATTTATAGCACATTGCCTGGCTCCAACTATACACTCAAGAAATATTTGTTGAATTCATTTGAATGAAGAAATGAGGTGTGAGGATTCTTTCCTTGAATTGCTACAGTGCTGACATTCCACCTGGACGCTCAAACTGTAAATCTCAAAGTCCTGTGGTTAAAGATTGCCTAGCATTACTCCTGAGGTGAAAGGTGTTAGGGCATGTAGGCAGGCCAGATTCTAATTTAAAACATGGAAAAAGCAGACCAGGAGATTGTAAATGCAATGGGCAATGCATTATTTAGAGGGTAAAGAGAGACTTAAGAGAAAATGTATTACAACCTACTAAGATGGAAAGACTTTTAGTCACAGATGATTACTATTATTACTGTGTAAGTCCTTGGATTTTAGGCAAGTGCTTTGCAATCACTTGCATTACTAGTTCCTTTCAACAACTGTAGATGGTGAGTTGGAATGACTCTCAGACTTTCCATAAAGAAACTCAGTCCTGTGTACAGTAGTACTAAAATCAAGATTTAATGAAAGCTATTTAGACATAGCCAAAGAAACTAGAGGCAACTTTGTGTCTTAGTAATTGAAATTTCTTTTGGTGGTCATGTTTATTCTAATTGTTATTTATGTGACATGCTGAATGTTTCATGATCACAGTAATTTTTGCTTCTTATACAAAGAACATCAGGTTCATACTTATCACAGCAGAAAAAACTGAGATTTGAAGAAATCAATGAGGCAATCCAAATCTGCAGAAAGAGGAAAGGAAGCTGAATTTCCTTAATCAAAGAGGTGGTTTTTGAGAACCTACTATGTTCTAAGCCTTTGTGTTAGCTCTTGGACAGGCTCTCCGCTTTACAATGTCAGTGGATTACATTAAAATGTTCTTCCTTACATGTACCCAAGTTGCCTCACATTTCTGTCTTCCTAATCACTGGATCTCAGAGGTCATTGGTCACAGTTAAAGATGTTTCAGCTGTCCACATTTTAAGCATCATGTTAAAGACTACCCTTTCAACTTGAACTTTTATTAAGCTAGTTACACAAGCTCAAAAACCTGCTTACTCTTGATTCCCAGTACCAAACACAAAAACCTTCTTTGTCCATAATAACATAGATGACATCATGAAAATCAGTTTTAACTGGACCCTATCAATCCTTGAGCATTTCTGCTTACTCAATCCAATAGCCAATACAAAAATAAAATGACAATTATAGGCCCACAGATACTTCATGTTAGACTCTATAAAATGCTGCTGAGGATTCTAGACATGGACAAAACTTGGAGTCTACCCTCAAGACCCTGATAGTTGAATAGAGGAGAAAAACATGTTTGGAAAGAGCCTGATATCAAGGCTAAGTGTGATGGACACAGGCGGAAGGGATACTCTGCCCGGGAGGTCTGTGAGATGAAGGCTGATGTTGACTTTGAGTGCAGACAGGAAAGTCATAGACAATGTTACATGTGGAATAGTCTTAAAGGATGGGAAGAGCATGGGCAGGTAAGCAAAAGGGTTATCAACTTCCCAGATAAAGAGCAGGACACGAATGTCTGCATAGAGACAGGAGCCTCCCAAATACATGTATGTGTGATTGGAGAATGGGGTCGGTTAGTGATAATTGTAGCTAATATTTTTTCATGGCTTAATAAGTACGAGAAACTGGCCTAAATGTTTTTCATAATTTATCTCATTTAATCCACAAACTTATAAGAAAAGAGAGCCATAAATAATATTAAGTAACT